GACAGCTCACAGGTCTTGCAGTAAATTCTGGTATCTTATTAGGCACTAAAAGGAGAAACAGTAGAAGTTCTTTATCACCTGACTCATAAAAAATGCTGCCTGGCATCAAAGCACTCCCTGTCTGATGGGTTGAACTTTCTGCTAATAGTTTTATTTAGATGTGCAGAGCTACCAGGCAGAAATTTTGAACTTCTATTAATTCTCAGTTTCCTTATTATCAAAATATTTCTACTAGCCAAGAAGGCTGCAAAATTTAGATCACTACAGAAGAAGTTACTACAGAAGACCGAATGTTTTTAATTTCAGATGTGATTTTCACTTGACTAAGTCAAGCATAAAAGCCACTAACAAATACTGCCGATCTCCCCGAAGTATTAATACTATTTCAATACTTTCATACTCTTCCATACTTTCAGCTATGGCTTACTGTAAAGTTGCCATTTTCATGATCTGAGGTGTGACTGAAAGAGCTGCTGTAGAATTTATTGACTCACGGGTTGGTTGGTGCTTAAACCAGCAGGGCTCACAGCACCCTGCAATTTGCACTAATGCCTGCACTTGAAATACTGACTTTATCCCACATCCATCAAGTTCTTTTTTTTCCTCCATGTCTCTATTTATCACTTAACAGATGTTAATGCTAAAATAAAAGAACAAGAAAGCAATTTAAAAACTGGGAAACTCCTTTTTCCCTGAGCTACTGGTGCTGGAAACTGCTGCCTGCCATCTGCTGGCACCTTCTCCAAGTGCAGCCAGGCTCCCGTGAAACTGCACCCTTCTCCCAGAAAGCTTGCAGAGAGGGAGAGCTCTCAACTGATGGAAAAATGGGCAAGCCCTCAAGGACAAAAACTCCAGAAGTCTTAGAGGAGACTAAAAACTGCATACAAGGACAACCTTTCCCATATGCCACACATGTACCTCTTGCAACTTACTTTTTTTTTTCCTCTAAATCCAGGTAGAAGATACTGAACTCAAATGCTCAGTCAGATTGTTTTGTTTTCTTTGCTGATTATTGCCAGTAGGGTCGCCTTGATGAGGATTAATATAAAATTATGAAATTACACCAGTAAATAATGGGTCCAAGTTGCCTTGGAGCTGATCAGAAGCAATGAACTAGTCCAGTAAGTGTTACTTACTGGAATGATGGGATGAGAAAAGTTAGAGGCAAATTCATGCTCCCAAGTGAGGGGGTTCTGAAGAGATAACCAAAAAAAAAGCATACAAGTAATTTCAGTTTTTAAAGGAAGCAGCTGAAACATAATGATTTTGATAACTACACTTCAGCCCAGAATCACCCTTCCAGAATCACCAGCCCAGAATCACCCTTCCAACCTTCCATCCAAATCCAGAGCTGTGTGTTCACCACAGGCTTCCCACCTCCCCCAATGTGAGGCGAATGACTGAGCCCCACTTTGCCCAATAACCACAACACCGAGGTTGCTGTGCCTGTGTTTGTCCATCAGCAACTGACCTACCTCTCAAACGAGCAGTCCAGTCTTCATCTCCAAGGCAGGGAATCTGATCCCAAGATAAGGGATAAGAGACCACTCATTCCTGAGCAGCCTCTAGATGTCCACTTCCCCACAAAAGAGGTGGGCAGCTCAGCAGTCCGGCGGCGATCAGAAGAGCAAACAAGCACTTGTGTAAGTCACTAGGTAAGCTCATAGTGGAATAAACTTTTGCACCAATGTGCACCTGCCTTCCCTGCTTCTCTGCTCTTTTCCTCCCTCCTCCTCCAGGACCTGCTCGCCTGACAGAACATGCTGGCCCAGCCCTCCCTTGCAATCAGAAAGGTCTTTTCAGAACAAGGTTGGAATTGCCTAAAGCGATTCCAACGCGTTACAGTTCTTTCTTCTCCCACGCAGAAATGCTGCTCCGTGCTCTCCCCCATATTAGTATCTCTGTCCTGGTTTTCCATTTATGGACCAGGAAATTTGCTCAGCTGGTACTGGGCAACGAGGCAAATCAGAACCACCAGAATATGGTGAGTCATGGGGAAATGGAGATAACTGATTTGGATAAGCCTTTTTTTGGTTTAAAGATATATGCAGGCTGACTTACCACTTTTTTTTTTCCCCCAGGGTCTGTCTGTAAGGTGCTTATTGTAACACATACCCAAACAAGCTAGCTTAAAAAAAATAAAAATAACACTGCTGCCCACATAGCTCATTATATATCCTGTTCATTCACAAAATATCCAGACTAATCAATCCTCACGCATCTGTGTCATGTATATGACCACGTATTTTTAATCATAAGGCACACGCACAAAATACAGCAGTTGGATCTCGCTAAGTATTTGTTTGCTTTCACTTTTTGAATTTTTATTTGATTTTGATTTGAAATTTCATTTGAACTTTCACTGCTTTGTTTTTCTGAACTGAGGCCGCCACGGGGCCGCACTGCTCCAGCTGAGGCCTCTCTGCCTCGCGCTGGGCCGGGGGGACCCTACAGGCCTTCGTGCGGCCTCCCGGGGCCCCTGTCCCCACACGGCAGGAGAACTTTCATTCTCTTAATTATTGGTCTCTTTCTTCATGTTAACCAGGTAAAACTGTTATTATTGTTATTCTTCTACAAGGTGAGAAATACATTTCTATTAATACTGTCTTGGCTGAATTTTTATCCCAATTAACAACAACTTTTGTAGCTGACAGAACTGAAGCTATAAGGTAAGATACTGCCAGTCCTCTCTGATGGGCTTCAGGACTATAGCTGTTTTTTCTTCATTCCAATTTGCCATCAACAGGTTGTATATTTACTTCTTAACAGCATACATCTCCCTGTCAGTGGGAGGGAGATGCATATTCTGATCATTTCTGTTTCAAACAGTATTTTAATGCTAGAGTCTGATGCCCTACAATCTTTCTCAGAAAATTGTATTTAAACTCTCATAATCTCCTTTACAAACATGTTCAAATGGCTCCAGCCTCCCCGCGATGGCACACGCATTGTTTATCTGGCCAAGAGCCAACACCAAGGCAGAGTTTCCCATTTCCTTATTCCAAGTTATTTGAAGTACAGTGCTACACACAGACAGAGCAGAGAGGTTTAAGCTAAAGTTTAACCAAGAGATTTTCAGACCCTCTAAGCTATAGGACTCTGACTTAAAGGCCTTCAAACAGTCCACGTTTCTGATGAAAGCAGTGCTTTTTCTCTAAAGATAGCTTAATCTGGATACTGAGCTTCTTAGCCCACATCCTTCAGCTGAAAGGCTACCTACACTGCATGCTCACCTCTGGCAATACCTCAATAGTCTGTAAAGCATAAAGACACGTCTGGGTTTCTGCTTTTGCTTACCCAGAGCTAGGACCTCCACACTTGCACAGAAACAACTCCTTGCAGCACTTTGGAAAGCTCTCACTTCCCTGGAAGCCTAGCTTAGCAGGAGGCAAAACCACTCAAACAGCAAGTTTTATCGATGCACAACAAGGTAGCACCGTATCTGAGAAGAGGATTCGTGTGCAGTTCTCAAAAATGCAAATTAATTGGCCGTCCGCTGAAAACACACCAAAATTCAGACCTGCACAATACAACCAGCCAGTGTGTACCGGGAAATCACCCATTACTCAGAGAGGCTGAAGTGATGCGTTCTCAAGGTTCTTTGATTCAATGGTGTTGCTTAAAAATATTTTGCAAAGACGAAGAGACATGGACATTTTATCAGCCTTCATTTTTAGTTCTTTCACTGATCCTTTAGGAGGGAAAAAAAAAGAAAAAAGGCAAGCGTATGATGAATCTTTTCAGCACATGCCCCAAATGCTCTTGCCTTTGACTAGGAAACAGTCCCTATCCCAAAGAGCTTCCATTCTAATGGAGTAAAACAGGAAAGATGAGGTTCACTGGGAAACAGAGAGGGTGACATAGTGCATCATACTGCTGGTGCCAAATATTAAGACTGGTAGATCTTTTTGTGCTGAGAGTCAGTACATCGACCATACCTTGTACATGACAGAACATACTCACTCTGCAGGTGTTTGAAACATAAAGAAGATCAAGAATATTTTCCAGTCAATTCTGAGAAGAGCAATATGTACATTCTACATAGATATTTTCACTTATTTACATACGTCGAAGTAAAAAAAAAAATGTGGTTAACATGCCAGAAACACATCCACCAATCAACTGTCTTACAAAGATAAAACTTTCAGAAAACATGTTTCTAAAATAAGTATCAAAATATTAAGAAAAAAATAAACACGTGTATTCCAGCTACCTTGTCTATACACATAAAAGTACAGGTCTTTATGGAAAAGTAGCCATGGAGTCCCTGTTAAACCAGCAACAATTTGTGGCATCCTTCTCTTGCAGTAAAGTGACAAGTCCTAAGCAGCAAATACTGGATATGTAATAAAGAAAATATATGACTATTCCTTATTAGGGAAGTACAGAACATTTTCATCTTTCCTGAATGACAGAGTCTAAAAACAGTGTTCCACAATATACTTTGGCTGCAATTTTCAGCAATTTCCAAGTGGTGATAGGCTAACACCTTTTCTCATTAGACAGAAAAAAAGTAAAGTCCCACCTGTGAACTTGAGTAACTGAACATATATGCATAGTCTCCAGACTGAGAAAAATTTAGAGATCTTCGCAGAAAGGCTGAGCTAGTGCTCCTCTTTCCTCCCAAGCAGCAAATCCCTGTACAGGCTTTCACTGCTCAGGAGCACGAGTTGCACCAGCTTAGGACAGTCAGTCGCATGAAACCAATGTTTCCATGGCAGCCCTTTGCATTTCAAGGACTAGTTCATTGCTCCAAGCTGCCTCTTGTCACAAGTCAGCCTCAGTCACAGTGCTGCAGGTAGCGAAAGGCACAGCATCCCACTCCCTGCTCTTGTAAGATGATTGTACCACTCCGGAAACTCAGTTCCCCTCTTCAAGTTTTTAGTTCTTTGTGGTCCAATGTTTCTCTTGATTTTTTAAATCATTTGTCTACCTTTTAAAAAGAGGCCACATGCCCAGATTAACAACAGTGATCAGTTAGATAATGAATAGAATGCCCTTATAGATCCTGGCTGACAGGCATTTAAACATTTAAGTTGATGCATGGTCGGATTGCTGATGTACTGACTGCTGAAGGGACTGTAGGCACCTTCAAATCACAGGTAGGTTCTGCATCTGATTCACAAGATTTAAGTCACGTCAAATCAGTGGTCATCTACTTTGGCCCTTTTTGCCTTCAAAGAAAGATGCTACAAGAGAAAAAAAACTGCTTAGTACATGGCACCACAATTCAAAAAAGTTCTGTTAAAATGCACTCAATCTTTAACCTCAAATTAAATTGACTCATACAAGTATCAAAACCACCCCTCGCAAGACCTGCTTGTTATTGATAAAGCTAAAATAAATCTACAAAGCCAAAAAGTTACATATATCTTAGAGTGATTTGGGGTGTTGGTATACTACATACTATATATTATATATATTACAATACTTTTGAAGTAATTGCAAGTGTATGCACAATTTCCTACCGGAAACAATTTCTCAACATGTAAAAATGCAGAAAGAGAGACATGTTGTCCTAACAATACATCTGCACATAAGGTCTAGCCACAAAGCCATGGAGACATTACTGATGAGCCATTCCTAATACAAAGGTGGCACACACAAAACAATCAGGAACCTGGAACAGAGGTTTGCACTAATAGCAGCTATTCTTACCCATTTTGAGTTTTAAGTGACTGGCACTGATTTTTTTCAGGAAGCATAATTAATACTCAAAGGAGATCTTGGGATTTGCATAAACATTTGCAATGAATGTAAGGACTCCTCTAAAAATCCAAGTGTGAAGTATGACTTATGAACCAACCCAAATTAATTTTTATGCTATTAAACAGACACACATGAACACTTCTAAAAGTTTATATACTAGAGGCAGCAATACAGATACAAGGGTTTGGGGTCTGTGCTGATTCCATACCGTTCCCTGCTGGTAAAAATGAGGTGCCAGTTCCAAGAGCCACGCAGACTCAATGGCAGTCACATCTCTCATGTAGTATTTGGCAGTCTGAATGACTTCATTGTAGATTACCCTAGGAGAGAGAAAGTTCGAGTCAGTTATACTTCTACAGACCCTGTACAGCATGTGTAAGAGTAAAAGTTAAAAGGAAACTGAGTACACAGGCCAAGTTTATGCTTCCCCGTCACAGCAGTGGGCAAAAAAGGACAAGAATTTTTACAAGAGTCAAATATTTACATTGATCATATTCAGCTGGTAGCTAGAAACAACACTTCCATTTGTTAACTCATATTTCGGGTACACAAATTAAATCCTAACATCTAAGTTAAATGAAAATACAACCATTTTTCCTCAATCTTCTAGACAACCATAAACTGCCATCAAACACTTTGTCTTGCACATCGCCCTCTCGTACATAAGCCCTCTCCTAGCAAGCAATATACAATTACTGCAATACCTGTTTGACAGGACATTTACTTAACAGGCTAATAAAAAGTAATTAACCCCAGTTCTGTCTGTGCATCGAGGCCACACCGAGAGCAATTTAAAGTGCGGGACCTGACTCGGCTTTCCAACTTCTGCAATTTATTGATAGTGCAAGCCACACTTTTTCCCTGTTTTACTGGAATATTACCTATAAAGAGTTATAAAGGAAATACCCCTTGAGTTCTCCACAATGATCTCCTAGGTTTATTGCTCCACTGATGCAGCAAAGTCATGGAAATGCCCAGATGCTCCAGAAGGACTTATTGGGACACAGAGCAAGCAAAAGCAGCTCTGACTTACCAGCGTGGAGGTTTTTCTGCATACAGCACTGAAGTGGGATGAATATGAAGTTCATGGTCATCACGTATAGTCCTTCAAAGCAAGGTATTAGTTCAGAATGTGCATAGATTTATTATTTAACATTTGCTTCCTTTCATCCCCTGCCAGAATACCGATAAAAGGCAACAATGCCTTTTGGCATTGAGTTGGTGCAAAGTATTCAGAGTTAATGGACAGGCTTTAAGGTGAAACCAAGCTTAAATCCTGGCCAAAGAAACGACTGAGAATTTAATGTCCTAGAAGCTTTCTAGCTACGCTAAGTGAAAGTAGTGTTTCAGACCTTTATTGAGTGTACTGCAAGTTTTGCTAAAGAAACTTAGTGATTGCTTGTATTAACACAAGCTAATTAATAGTAACAGCTACCCACTTCTAATGTATCTAATTGCTTGTACTAAAAAAAAAAAACGCTGCAGTAGTTTGAAAATACAAAACTTTAAGACTTACTACAGCAATTAGCATTTGTTTCTTACTGCAAATATCTAGAGAGGCATTTGATTGTCCGTTACAGTTAGATTTATCACAGGAAAGGAATTTGTTAAACTAAACAACAGTTCCAATGAAACTACATATTCCTACCTGTAAACTCCAGTAGAATGTAATTTAGCTGCATTAGCAAAGAATCCAGAAACGATACACCTCAAAATTGTATCTGGATCACCTGAAGAAAAGAATTTTTTCAGTAAAATGCATCAATGCAAGGGCAAAAAAAACAATCCTTTAATCTACTTAATCATCTCAAATAACTCTTACATGGAATCAGGCTTTGATAGCAAAAGTTTGAAGGCAGACAGACTCCACATTTTTTTCCAACTTCCATTTCTCTACATACCAAAATTTCTATATAAAAACCTACTGTTGCCACTGGTGTCTCCCTGAATATAGTTTTCACAGTCCTTAGAGCAACCTTGTGTGACAGCTAAGAATTAAAGATTGATTTTTTTAGAGCAGTTGGAGTCAAGCACTGAAACCTACTCATAGTAACCAAGCTCTCTCAACACAGCTGAAAAAATATCAAACCCCAATGCCTGCATATCATATCACACATAGTAATGAATAATTATTTTGAAAAGGCAAAAAGGGCAACTCAGTAACTTATCTCTTACTTTTTCAAAAATCTGACCATTAAATATATAGTAAGTGGTGATACTCTCTATATATTGGAAACTTTAAGAACAGAATAAGTGTTAATTGCCAAAACAGCTTACATTGCTCTTTTACAGTCATTTTTTTTAGGAAAAAAAAAATGGATTGATTTAACATGTTTTTTTTGCCAGGGAGAAAATACTCAAAAAAGTTACATGAAAAGCAGGAAGTGGACTAAAAATGTGGAGACTATCTTGAATATATACTAAGCAACAAGTTTAAAAATATATAAATAATAATAATAAACAATAATAAGGAAGTCTTCACCTTCACTGGATGTGTTTGGCACTTTAAAGCGGACAAGTAGCTTTTTCAGCTGTTCTCTTACAACAGAAGCTCTAACAAGTCCTTTGTAGTTTAGAAAGTGTTCCTGACACCACTGAGAGCTCTTGCTGTGCTGAACAGTGAGGAGAGAAGAGGGGGAAACAAAGAAAAAGTTGCAATTAAAACTCTTTCAGACTACATTGTTTTATTCTTAGTGTTATTTTTTCCCCTATCTCCTACAATATATTTGTCATTTGCCCTGAAAATTACCTATTTACAGAACAACTAGCATACTGCCACTAACTGCAAAATCTATTTCAAATAACTTGTAAATAAGAGCAGAATAAAAGTCATGGGATATTTTCTCACAGTGTACCTCATTCCTTCATAAATGAGGAAGGAAAATAGCATCAGTCATTCCATTCTCGCAAATAAATACTTCATATCATTTATCAGTCTGTTTTCAATCTCAGCCTTTCCTGTACACTATTTCCACTGGTCTCCTCTAGATAAAGGGCTATTTCTCCAGAAGCCAGCACTTACTCCAAGATTCTATGCACATTAATATTTTTAAGAAGAGTTATGCAGATTTAAAATTCTAAAGACAAAATTTCAATTGATGTCCAAAAATGCAGAAGTCTATAGAAATTCACAGATAAAACTGTGCTGTACCCAAACCACAGAACTCTTTCTCTTCCCTGTTCAGAGGGACTACAGGAAGAAATGTGGCAAAATATGACCATACCTTTTAAATAAATATCATATTTATACTAGTATTAACTTAATATAGTTTTTATAGCTGAAGTATTTGATAGCCTTGGCAAGTCCACAGCTTTGAGGATGCTATAAGCCAGGCCTTCCAGATTCAGAATTAGAAACTTCACCCATTCCTGAAAATCCATATGCACTCAGAGTGACTCACTTTGACAAAGGCTTCATAAACATTAAGCATAGTGAGATGATCACCTTCTTCCACAGCAAACTTTCTGTGCTGCCTGGCCTGCAGAAGAAGAAATGGATTTTTATAGGCAAATTGATTTTTGCAAAAATTATTTCCAATACCTTCAGCTTCATCATCTTCAATATTTCTTGGGGACTACCCTAAATCTTACCATGAAGTACAGCACCTTTAGGCAATATCAATCTACTGGCCAATATATGTATATCTCAGAGGAGCTCCAAAATTGAAATTAGAGAAATGAACTGAAAATAGATGGCAAAAATACAGGAGAGGGATGCATTAACATTAGGTCCTGACATCCATTAAGGTATCTTAAGTCTTCCTTCTGTTCTTTTCAAAAGAAAGTTTTTAGGGCTTTTACAAACCTCAGTGGTTATAAATATTGTTTTATAACCTTTCACGAATCTGGCTCTCAGAATGAGGCTTTAGCACTAGCAAAGGACTGAAGAACTCCCACTGTTACTCAACTTCTTGTTTTATTTATAACCCAGAGGTAGAGACCTTGTTCCATTTTGATACAAATGTGCAGCCTTAACAGGCACTTAACAGAATTTAGAAACACTGAACTAACCAAAAAATGAGACGTGACTGAACTTACAGCTTGTGATTTTTGATTTGGAGGGACCACAAAGATGTTCTGAATCTGCATCATGGCAGCAATAGTCAAAATCTCCTCGGAGCAGCCAAAATTTCCTGAAGAGTAAATAGAGAAAGTCAGAAATGGAAACTCTTTCCTTCAACCTAACAAAATACAGGATAACAAAGAGGAAAAGCAGAATATTTTTATCATATTACTATTGGAGTTTTGAGTATAATGGAGAATATTTTTAATAGGAAGCTTCAAAGACAAACTGATTAGACTTCAATTAACTTTATTAGAAATGTCCATGAGTTGAACCAAGTCTTTTATTTTCACCAAAGTTCACACCATATAGCTTGTTCCAAGTTTAGGAAGCATCCAGTACAACACAACAATTACTCAAGGCAGTTATCTGCTATTCAGAAGACTGAGAATAAAACTGGAATTTTCTGTCCTACCTGATTCCAGAAGCATCTTTGCAAACATCGGATTCAAAGGAAACTCTGCTATTCTCATTCCAAGAGGTTCTGTTAAACGGCAGTGTGTATCCAAACCTGCAACACATTAACAAATGCAACTGTAATATACACAAGAGTAGCACTGAAAGTCTTTTCTAAGAATTTATTGTGGACAAAAGAGCAGAATGAGGGACTAAAATACAACAAATGCTCCTAAAAATTGCTGAGTTGGTACTAAACTTAATTTGAGGACTGCACCTTAGCATACTCTCCCAAAAGTGCCTGGGAAAGGCACTTAGACACTGGGAAAGATACTTATACATACAAGTCCCTTCGTTCTATTGCTCTTGCAAATAATTTAGAAAACTTGCAGTCAAATTTAATGCAACAGTCCAAGGGCCTGACTCTTCAGTGAATTACAAGGAAGCATTTTTGATAGTGCTTAGTCTAGAAAGTTAAGTGTTAGAGTCATGCATCTCCTTTTGCAGTATTTAGCAATATCTTTGATCAAGGTGAGAAAAAGCAGGAGTGCTCATAAGAAAAAAAATGGGTATAATTACAGAAAGAGACATAATTGTGGAACGGGAAGCAGTATTATGGGGTGACGTGCTGTCATTTTTCTGAGTCATATCTGCTTAGGTCATGGAGAAAAATGATTCAATTTTAATATCATCTAAACTAGAGATAAGGAAGATTTCTCTGCAGTTTTTTCTGCCTCATGCCTCAATTATATGTCAGCCACAGTCCAGCTGAAGAGATTTTATGGGAGGTGAAGAGGTGCAAGGCAGACGCATGACAGCTTGATTTTCAGTTCCAGTCACTAGTGAACATTCCTGCATATTTTCCATTTCAGAGGAACAGCCTCCTAGAATTAAATAGCTGCAGCGAGTGCAACCCATGCAAGCCACGGGGTGATGTTCTAACCCTGAGCATTGTGTGGAAAATTCAAAGAAAAAAAATGGCAAAGCACTGCCCATGTAGGAGGACGTGGGAAATAGAACAAGAAACGAATCTGGGTGACAGACACAGGAAAGTATCAGAGCGACACACACACGGAGCACAAGAAAAGCTGCATAAGGACGGACTAAATAACAGGACTTTGGAGCACTTTAGAGTGCAACAATAACCATAGCAGAGTAGACTGAGAAAACTACTGCGGCCCACAGGCTGTATGTCAAACTGCATGGTGAAAAAACCACAGTTGTGCTTTAGTCATGTTTCAGAGAGAACCAAAACCACAAATCAAGTCAAAGAATGAGATCTCCTATAACTCAAGGCAGCATATGTAAAGCCACAAATCCCTCCATCAAGTGCTTACTTTCCTTTAGTGGTTGAGACACTGTAACATTTTATGACAAAGTAGCAAGCTCACTACACCCTACCCTGAAAAAGGCCTATCAGACATTTTACATATTGCCAAAAATCTTTTTCTAAGAAACAGGTACAACAGGCAGCTCGTATGAAACAATCAAGTGATACAGGTCAACACAATACCCCAGAAACTGCAGAAATGAAGGGAGGGCTAGGGTAGGGGCTTAACTGCTCCCATCATCAGTACCTTCAACTACTTAGTCCTTCATTTACAGAAATAAAATTGGCTTCATCTTTAGGGGGGGGGAAAAACACAAGAGAGAAACTATGTTCTTCTTAGCTTCCTACATCAAGCTAAATTGTTCCTACATCAAGCATAATAGCTGAATCTACAAGCATCAATACAATTTTGCATGGGTCTATGGTTTATGGGTAGATCTCTTTGGGTGTACTGCTACAAAGGTCTGCACGGGATACAAGTTTGGCACAGGTCAAGGTTTCCTTGAAGTAATCTTGGAAGCAACCACTACGCCAGGTATTTAGGAAATCAGAGCTCTTCAGCTCTTCCCTAAGCTCTGCTTAGGAAAAGGTCTTGAGAAGATTTTGACCAAATACACCCCGGAGAGATTAGTCAAATACTTTGCCTTAAAATTCCCAAGAAACCCTCACAACTATGTGATGGGCTGAAGAAGGAAGAAGTTTTAACATAACTGGAGTAGTTGTTTCTAATAGGCCACGACTTACAAGATAACATTGAAGATCTGTTTGTATCCGAAATAAAGCTAAAAATAAAGCCAGTTTTTATCTGTTTATCTCTGTTCTCCTACGTTAGGCTTAAAATAATGACCTGAAACTGACAACTGAGATTTTCAAAGGGGCATCAAAGGATCAAGTTGAAAAGCTGCTCCTGGTGTAAACAGCTATGAAAATAACCAGGCTGAAAGCAGTGGTGTGTTTATCCCACAGACCCATCTCAACCACAGAAGGGTCTGCTCTGCACAAGCCTCCCAGGCGGCACCCGGTGGCACGATCGGGTCCTCACCCTAAACTGCACATTTGCCTGTTCTTTACAAGGCGAATGATGAAATACATGTATGCACCTGCATAAGAGAAATTGAGGCCTTACTGCAAACTCTTGGGTAACTTCACCTCTGCAGCTTATATAAAAGCTCCTTAACAAACCACCTTAAACTGCAGCAATAAAAACTAGAGTAAATCTGTATCTCACACAGCTGCAAACACACTCCTTCAAGTCAAACACCACCACTTGCTGCAAAAACTGAGCAGCCAACAGAGAAGAGCTCTGCACTTGTATGTGAATCTACCAGGAGCGTAATAGCCTTACCCAAACATTACAGAGCTAATCAAGGAGTTTACTGACCTTTCCTCTCCACTTCCCTAAGACAGTTTTGGCTGTGAATTCATCCTTGCCATACCCTGGCTCCACACTGGTTTGCGGAGCTAGTGTGAAAACTGTTGTTCCAAGCTTGAAATGGCTGCAAAGAACCAAGGAAAAACAGACACAAAACTCTTCCAAAATCTTACACAAATCTCTTTCACACTACCCTTTTCTTTTTCTTTCTTTTTTTTTTTTTTTTGTAATGGAGCAAATATTGTTTTGAGTTAATTACTAAAGTACAGCAGAGCTTTATTTTGATCACATATTCCTGTGCCAGGTTTCGACTTTGTTTTACATTTGTTTTAAGGAAATGTGAACAAAACACTGTGAACAAAAATATGACTCCAGCATGCTTAAAAATTTACAGGTATTGAATAGGAGCCTTTGCTCTCAGGGTCTAGTACACTGGCTTTTCTTAAACATTTATGCTTGGCTTGTCCATACTGGCTGCTTGAAAACTGACTTGGCTTGTCCATAACCAAAAACTTCAACCCTAAAACTAGAGCAAACTTATTTTAGGAGCTGCATATACACGTGCATCTAAGAGCTTAAAAGACCGCTGTGCTGTGCAATGAAACACAGATGCTGCATGTGGGAAATGCAGTTTCGATCCACCCAGGTGTAAATCTGCTACTTTGGGGAACGATTAACACATTTTTTAAGTGGTTGCATCATGCATTCACAGCTGACAAAGTTAGGACAAGTTCACTGATTGGCCTGTAGTAAGTCAAAGTTTGCAAGCTGAAGGCCAAAGACATGTTCAGAAATGTATGAACATCCAAAACTCCTGTCAGAACTCTGGCTCGGCTGCACGGTCAATGTTAACACTGACAGGACTGCTCTGTGTAAGATGTAGCCTTTTAGCCATGCTACTTTCAGAGTATATCCACAGGCTAGAACATATTTTTTAAAGTATAATTCTCCCTTTTTAAAGTATAACTACATGTGCTGTTGATAACTTTTGACATTGGTACCTCCTTTATAAATCAACAAGAAGAACTACAGTGTGACATTTGATTTGCTAACAGATGGAGAAGCAAACTATTAAACTTTCAATCTAGTCTCCAGTGCCTTGCCTCTCAAATTCAAGCATCAGATTTTATTTGCCATGTTTATGCAGAGTTCTTGCACTTTTCTTATATATGGATAAATATAAGCAAACACATCAAGATCCGATAATGAATGTTGCATGCTAGCAGATACCATTCAAATGGAAACAAGGCACTTTTAAAAACCTAACCAGGAAATAAATGAAGTGGCAATTACTTTAAGCCATCTAATTTCCATGTTATTATAATCAATCTGACAATGCAGGAGTTGACAAAGCTGCACTTTCAAAGTTTGTTGTTTATGCTTGAAAAGACTACAGGTTTGGAGACTACAGGTTTATATTTATATAAACATATAAAACTTTACACAGTACACAGGTATACTGGCACAGTAACACAAAAACGTATGTTCACCACTACACCACCAACTTGAATATCTAACAACTTACCAAATAATGGCATACAAATAAATTTAGTACTACTCAGCTTTGTGTCCTAATTCCATCCATATCGTCATCTTTTCCATAAGAATTGGAGAAAAATGAACAAGGGAACTGCCCATTAACATGAACCAACACCCTAACCAGTTCAGGGTCCTGTTCCTAGACATAGCAAATAGCTGACACCTCTCATGAAAGTGCAAGGAAATACACAGTAGAGAGATTTCCTCCCAGAAAGTGACTACTGCCTTCTGCTTGCCTACCTTACTGAAATAACCTAGGAGCAATAGAAAGTGAGCTCAGAGAAAACTCAGGTACACTTTACAAAACACCACCAAAACATCTGCACTGCTCAAGGTTGTATTTTCTCATACTCGAAGAACTGTTCTCAAAAGCAGGTTTGATTAATTGCTATCCCAGAATCAAATACAAATTAACATTTTTTTTCTTCCACATCTCCTGCAACACAAGTAAAGCAAAGCAAAATATTCTTACCTCCTAAAGCATACAGCAATTCTAAAGCTTGCACCATTGACTGTGCAGGAGGAGGCTGAGAAGGAAAAAAATGTGCATTATTTAAAGTTATTATCATAAGAACACGAGTATTCACAAAATCTATTAGATTTTTCATTCGTTTAAATCCTAAACTCTATTTATTTATCTTTCTACCTATCCAGAATGGATAGAGAGCTCAGCATCATCACTATGATGGTCTCAAGGTCCTGTCAGTATGCAGAATTAGGCCACACTAGAAAACATTAGTCTCTGTCCAACAGTGACAACACAGGTGATCAGAACAATTACTTCTTAACTTTCTCTCCTAATACTATTATATTAGTCCTTCCACATCAATGGAATCAAAATTTTAGCAGAAGGAGCCAAAAACTTTGGGGAAAGACAGTTTAAAAATTGGTATTGCTTTTCTTAACAAAAAAGCAC